GCCATTAAAAATATATCTTGTTCGGATCTAGAGAGAGCTTGAAACGCCTCACGTAATTCAGCAAAATTTTCTCTCGCAATCTTTTTTGAACAACCACAATTGCAACCTATCTCCAAGAAACACATTGCTTTTTCATATTCAGTTGAACCGTTGTAATTATAATTTTCCATATACGGGTAATCCTATCGCTATATATAAATTTTATCAATTATATGGTAAGAAGTTTATTTTTTCAATAATTTTATGTAGCCTCCAGCATGATTTCCCTTAATTTGTTTTGGTGGGCCCTTTATTCAGCACAGCTACGTGGACCGCTAGAGCTGTTTTTTGAGTCATATATTATTATATACAAGTGACAAAACTGAGAAGGGGGGTGTCTTTCGACAGGCTATGTCTAAGGGAGAGAAGGGAAAATCTATTCTACCTAACTATAGAAAGCAAAAAGACAGAGCTACTCCTAGTGAGTGCTACTACCCAAACCAAATATATCCGTTCGTTCTACAGAAATAAAACGATCATTAGTATGGGGAGACTATACTGGTAAAACCCATGGTCAGGGGAAAGGCCAGTAGGGGGGAGCATTATTTGTTTCTGCTCTTTTTGGTGCTGCTTCGTTTCGAAGCTGGTGTGGGGGGAGTACGGGCTTTGGAGGGTGAGGGGGAAGGGGATCCCTGCCTGGAGAGGAGTTCTCTCATGGCCTCAGGGGATCCTGAGAAGAGGGCCTCTTCATATCCATCATCATCCTCATCAGGGGGTAGTGGAGGGCCATATTGGGTGGGGGTGGGGCTGGTTATGATGGTTGTCTCACCACCAGAGTGGGACACTGCCACAGTGGTGTAGGTAGACACCTGAGAGGAGATGGCGATAGGGGTGGTGGGGGGGGAGAGAGGGTATTATTTGTGATGGGGGGGTTTGGGTGCCTGATGTGGAGGGTTGGGGGTCTTGTGTCTCGACTCCCTGCATCTCTGTGTCCCCTTTCACAGGGCCAGTTCCGCTGACCTCCGATTGGTTCTGCTTCTTCTTCTTTTTCCTCTTCTTTTTCTCTGCTTGCACCTCAGGGGTGGCAGAGGGATTGGCCATAGAGGATGTTGGGGGTTTGGGGGGTTTGTGTTACCCACAGACCTCGCTTTCTTCCGAGGACAGGAGGAAGAGTTGTGCCCAACAATTTTGCAAGTCAGGCAGGTTTTTGGCACTCAAGGCCACCAGGCAAGCACCTTTGTCCCGAGGACCTCAAAGATAGTGGGAGGGGTGGTGGTAGACTGGGGGTCTACTTCGATGATGAGATCCCATCAGCGAGTCAGCCAAGGCTTGCCAGGGATGCGGTGTGGGGCGATTTCTTTTACCTTGCCATACTGTTCCCAGTGGCGGTGCAGCACTTGCTCCAGGGTGACTGCAGAGGCGATAGGTACGTTTGCTAGTTTTACTAGCACAAAACGAGGCAAACTAGCAGAGGAGGGGATGGGGGGGAGGGCAAGATGGTTAGTCAACTCCAAGGGTTTAGCGAGGAGGTCAGTCTGTTCCTGTCCGGTCAAGACATCCACCTCCAGGATGTTCAGGTCATCCCGCCAATGGATTCCTAGGATTCCAGGTGGGAGAGCACCAGCAATCTCTTCATGAGTTGCTAGGGTGGAGGACAGGTCAAAGAACACAGGGTATTTGCCTGATGGTGAAGGGGTTTTTATTTTAGGTGAGTATTTAGCGAGAGAAACTGAACACTCAGAGCAAGCGAACAGTTTTTTTTCAGTAGGAGCAGTCTTTGACTGCTCAACTACTTTGGCCCATGTTGGGGCAGAGCTAGACATGGTGGAAATGAAGTGTTAGGCACCTTTAGTTGTTTATTTAGCAGTTAGTAGGTTAGTAACTATGGAGACGGGTGTGTGGGATGGGATAAAGCGGTCAAAGGGGCCTGGAGTAGATGATTAGATATTGTTGAATAAGGTTATATATTAATTTTTTATTTCGGTTTCTAGTACTTTGTATTAGTTTTATTAGCTAAAGGCTTGTTTACGCTAATATTTCATATTCATCTATAATGATAGATGTTATTTTTTATTGTACTATAAAGAATAGATATCATTTTTTATTATTCTAAAACATTAAATATCATTTTAAATATTGGATAAAAAATCAAACCATGAATACACCATTTCTAAAATAATATTATCGCCGAAAATCTACATATCTAACTTCTGAGCAGATAGAAACAATTAGATCGCTCAAAGATAAGGTACCTAAGTATAGAATTATGAGAGATTTCCATATTAATGAACATCGAGTAGATGATATATTGGAAGACCAACAACAAATAATACAAAGTACCATTTCCACTGAAATATTACCTATATCTATTGCAGAGCAGGCCCGTAGGGGCGAGTTACACTCATGGCTTAAAGAGCCTACACTAGCCTCATCAGACACGAAGTGTCCTGTTTTACAGACTCCATCCGAAAATTTTAATCGACTCAGAAGAGAGACTTTATATTCAGAATCTACTCCTCTCAATACAGAAATAAAGAAGAAAAGTTCCAAATCTCGGTCTAAATCTGTATTATGTAGACCCGAAGGGTCATTGCAAAGCAATAATAATGAGCTCCGCTCTCACATATCTGATTCAATACCTACTAATAATTCTAATGAGACAGAAAAAATAAGTAGTGGGTATCTAGTCGCATTACGTGAAAAAGAAGCCAGAAGAGATGAGAAAAATAAAGCAAATATGACTCGCCTATTAGCTACTACTACTACATAGATCTATCTTTTCTTTATTTATGCTATCATCTCTGGAGGTGATATATTCAAGTAGCTTTCCATAACGCATTTGTAACTTTTCACAAATATCATTTATTTCAACTTTAGACTTGAGAGTAGTATATAGCGATTTTTCTAACTCCTCATAACTCATGCGTTTTTTTTAAAAGTCGAATTGTCAGAATCTGAGCTAAAAGCCCGCAGGAGCACACCACTTTTCGAACGGTATATTGTCATCCTCACTACCGTCTATCTTCTGGGAAATTTGATCAGATACCAATGGCTTATGACCCTTTAGGGTCGCCCCTTCGGGCCTGCAAAGCAATGGGACTCCGTCCCTATCATTCTGAGATGCGGTAGCGCAATTTACTTCGAGCTTATTCTTAACCTTATGCATGTTTATTGGAATAAAATACTCTTTACCATTACATACGAGCTTTAATTCTCGTTTCGACGCGAGCAAATCATAATCATATTTATCTAGGAGAGTATTTGGCAAAATTAGCATGGGTTTGGGATATTTGACTACCGCAAAATCGGAACATATAGTACAACCTGGAATAAAGTCTACTGCTACATTTCGGGTAGTTCCAAGAGATTCTGTAGAAATAGTAACAATGCCTCTAAGATCATGTTTTTCTTTTGTATCAATTACCAACTTTAATCGTTTAGCTATATCTTCAGACATAATTGGAAAATTTGCACCAGGATCTACAGTGGCCGCCGGGATTATTAATCGTTTGATCTTGCATTTTGTAGTTACAACATCTGTAGCCGGATCTTTTCTCTGAACAAAATCAATTTCCATAGGATCATCCAATGTCTCTTCGTCAGATGCTCAAATTGCAACAGGACCGGGCATAATTCTTGCAAGTATACTCGTAAGAAAAGGTTTAAGAATAGATTCAAAAAAAGTGGTAATATCAATAAGGTTGTTGTGGATTCTGACTCTCGTTCAGATACAGACTCTTCTGATAACGATTCTTCAGATAATAACTCCGATTCTGAGAAAACTTTATCTGAATCTGAAGCTGATATCAATGTCAAAATCACGCATTTAAAAAAAAGTAAAGAATAGTTCAGCGCGAGCAGACACATCTGTGCCAAAAAATAAGTCACCTTCCAATAAAAACAATTCGAATAAATCATCTTCTAAGAAGTCCAAATCACGCAAAATGAAAAAAGACGTATCTACTTCCAATAAATCACATACCCTTAAACAGAACATTCGTCAAATTTTATTGGACATGCTTGAAAAGGTTTTACTCCCGCACCAGTTGGAGAAACTTAAATCTGAAGATAAATATTTATCCATTCCGGATTTCATGAATCGCCGAGATCCGATCCCAGCAATACCTGATTCAGAAGATCTCCTTCTTGACCTGTCTAGATATAGCCTTATTTATTGACAACTTACTCATGTGATTAGCCGGTTCTTCATCAGAGTCGGCTTCTACTTTTTTTATCTGTGGTTTTGGAGGTAAATCGGGCTTGGGAACGGGAATAAATTCTGGAACTTCCCCGGTGATCCATTGTATAAAAGTTTTTCGCTGTGCGTGTGGGGTTCACGTGATGATGACGTTTTTGAGACTGTGACATCATGTCACGATCTTGATGGGTCGGTCGGTTATTATCCTTACCATGCCTCCCCTCTAAACATGTCGCTAAACCCCTTCAAGTTCGTTCACGACAAAGGTATTTGTTCTTTTTTCTTAATAATTTTTTCTAATCGATTTCACATCTATATATATAATACATAGTGCAAAAAAAGAAACTTTGCAAACTTGCAAAAAATTGTGATACAGGTGGGTAGCAGTTAAATTATTTTTTGTTGATGTTATAAACCATTAATTGGTATTTTGTGTTAGCTCCTGAGAAGCTCCCTACGATTCTTCAAAATCCGGATATTGTCACTCTTGTTCTCAAATATTTAAAAATCAAAGATACCGACGACGAAATGCCCGCACTTTTGTTCGATTGGAATCAGGCCGGCTTCAACGACACCAACGTCCCAAATTGTCGTAACGGTGTCGCAGGACAGACCCAAGAGGCTATAATCGCACACATCCTTGCAAACGGAGCAACCGATTTTATGAATCTGAACATACTATTCATTTTTCGAAATGGTCAAGCAATTGGGGCTTGGCACAGGAATTTCTGTGTGGCTTTGCCTTGGTATGAGATAATTCTATATTTTATATTCTTTGACATCAGCTTAATCCATTACCCTTTCTTAAAGGGCGAAACATCAAGCTGGTGTTCCAGATATCTGTAACAACATCTTAAGACTTAATAAGATTACGGCAGACACAGCCAAAGTCGATATCGAGAATTTTTTAGGCATCTTGTTATAAAGAAAAAAGAGGAGTAAGTATTTGTTTTGTTACCTTTTCTAAATCATTATGATTAATTTATCCCTTCAAACTGATACAAAAGAATATCCTGTCTCCTTCATTGTAGTTGTGCCAAAAATTGAATGAATTAATCCTCCTTGCAAGATTTTACGCTTCATGAGTACTTTGTGTCCAATATAATAACATTGTGTGCGTTTTGTGTACATGATGTGTGATTCTGATATATATGAAAAAATAAATTGCGCCGTTAGCATTTTCGTGTAAATGCACTTGGGCTCAAACTCGATATCTAGTATTACTCGTCATCATGATTGCTTGCTTTTAAATCGACACCACGACCCAAGGCATTTTTATTTTTTTTTTCTTGGCCAAAGTGATCTGCGTGACCAAAAGTCACGCACTCATTATTTCTATGTATTCAAACTTTTGAACATATGTGCATTTTGTATAAAAATGGTAAACACGCAATCCAAAGTCGATACATTAGAAGAACAGAATTCCAAACTTATACCTGAGATTGCCGAGCTTAGAAAGGAGAATGCGAAGCTGAAGCAGCTTATCGAGGAGAATGAAAAGCGCGATGTTAGAGTCGAGGAATTAGAGCAAAAGAAGATAGAGCTTGAGACTAGGCTCGCTATATTAGAACAGGGAAAAGAAGAAAAAAGTATTTCTATTGCAGAGCAATGGCTCTTCAAGTCTACGGAAGATGTCTCGCACTCTCCAGTAAAATCTAGCGATACTCTCAAACAGATTGTGCTACAATGTGATAATACCCCGGTATCTGATATAACCGATGACACCTCTGAACAGGCTGTCTTGCAAAATAAGGATGCTCCGGAATCTGATGTATCCAATAATGTTTCAAATTCTGATGAATACACGTATCAGTCTCGAGTCTCCGATTCATCTTTGAATATACCACCTATATGTGCAAAGTCTAAATCGTACTTGATAGCATTTTTTGATAACATATATTATCGATAACATTATCGTGATATACTGAGCATAGCATGTATATAGCGTGCCTAGATAGCATATATGTAATATACCTGATATAGCGTATATATAATATAGCATACTCGATAGCGTACTAGGTAGCATACATTTTTAGCTATATGCCTCAAACTCGTGATGAGGTCAACCCAACGTTCAATAGTTAACATGTGGTTCAACGACGGAAATCGGTCACAGTTATCAAACCGGTATACAAATATTGTTATCGAATTTGGGTTATAATAGAAAACGCAGAAGGGTTAGGTTAGGGCGTCATAACCTAAATCTGATATTTCTTTTTAAAGGAAATCGATCAGAAACGTTAAGCTGATATACGAAATTTAATATAACTGATTAAAACATTATCGATATCGAATTGACTTTCTAAAGAGTATACAAACTGTTTATCTATCTATGTGTCATAAAATATATATCACGACACTGACGACGGTGTTGCATTTCTGTCGTTACGACACATGACGACGGTGTCAGATTTCCACATACCTGAGTGGGAATAACCTAGACAAAGTAGAAATAACATAATTATGTTATTTCCACTGCACCGTATAAGATGTATTGTTTGAAACAAACTTTTTTATAATTCTAGAAAAGCGTGTGGAAAGGATACAGTATTTTGAGCGCTACATGTTAATTTTAAAGAATAAGCGAATTCTTGTTGAGTTGTAAGCAGAAGACGCGCCTTTAATCCTGCTACGTAAACTTTATCTAAATGTAATGCATCGGGGACACTTGCATTTTTAGGGAGCGCCTGCTGATGAGTTACCAACCTATAATAGGTAGTAATACTTACGTATACTCGGAATTACTTTGCACGTGAGCAGGAATGTTGACCAGTTATGGCAGTTTGTGTTCAATTTCCTGCTTCATATGAACGAGCTCACTGATATGTTTCAAACAGCTTTGTAACTAGAAAACCCAAAAGACAATCTGGTGGATTTCTGACGCAGAGGTCGTTTGGCAGAACTTTTTTTTTTCACCCTTAACGTCGAAATTACCTTTTTTTAAGAGTTTTCCTCTTTGTCACGTATACTCAAGGTTTATATACTATGCTGACGTACCTCGTATTTAACGTTTCATAAAGTCTTACCAGAACCTGATTATCCTTAGAACATTCTCCTTCCCTAGACGATTTATTCAACCTTCATTTAGCTTTCGGCACTTTTCCCCCTCCTTTAATATTCTCCGTACTGCAACCAATTATATTTTAACTAGGAAAGATGCAGAGACTGGCGCTGCGCATCTTACATCGTTTCTCCAGAAAGACGTACATTCGTAGTGCTTGGAAAAATTTAAATAGTTTAAGCGAACTTGACGAGTTAGCTGAGGCTCTGGACGCTCTTATATCCATGTCTCATGAGGGTTGGTTTTCGCCGTGATAAGTTTTTTGCGCCTCTTAATAATTGCTCATTAATCAACTGACTATTGACTGACTCTTGTGTAGAAAATGAATTTATTGAGTTAATCACAGTCATAGTGGATGTACTATCAGAAGCACCCATGGCATCGGCTTTCCTTTGTCATATAATTGGTACTATGAGCGCACATTTTTGATCTTCGTCTGCTGAATCAAAAAATAAATCTAAATTCTTTACTACATTTCGCTAACACAGATAGTGCTGCACTTCCATCCAAAGAAACATCTCACAAGATAACAACAAGGCTCCTTCAAAAGTTAAAACCAGGTTAACAATTATTTACTGATAACTGTGTAATTATGGTACACATTATGATTATTCTTACTCAGACCATTGCTTTCAGGTGGTATATACCGCACAAAACCTAAGAAGCGCACTCGAGTGAACGCTGCTATTATTTGGAGTGTACTTGCCGAGAAATTAGCAGGTTTGTCTTTATAAGCTATTCAAAACGTAGCTATCGACTTGCACTAACATACACGTATACTTGATCAACATAATGGTATTGCTTTCGATAAATAAGGCGAGATAAGTTTATCTCTGTTTACGGACAACGTGTGCAATACGCTGCTTGATTATCTACAATCAGATTTGGACTTTAGCGTTCGGTTGTTTGCTTTGATAGCTCTTGAGAAATTTGCAATGACCGGACAGAACAAGAACAAAATTATCACATCTGGTAGGGATATGCAGAAGACTCTACAAAACATAGCCGAGGAATTACATCTTGGCGAAAGCTCGGCTGACGATATGAATCGTCGGAGGCAATTAAAGTTCTGTGTCGAATGGGCAATGAAAAACACATTCGGTATGATTCCATATTGTTACACGCATGAAGCGATGGCACTTATCATGGACATTTTTCCTATGGGGAAGCAATCCACACCCGTAACGATAATGTCGATGATCGCTTTGAAATTCGTATAATGATCGACTTGCTAACTGGAATTCACATTATTTGTATCTATTTATAGATTATGGCAAGGTGACAATGCTTTACGAGTTAGTGATATCGTGACATTTACCAAAGAGTTTATTGCTCATTCCTTTGTCGTGTTTCAAATGATGTAGCAGGTGGCTTGCGATTACGATGATGGTCCGCCGAATTTGGATATTAACGTCGTACTAAATCCATTAGATGCAACCGCACATTGGAAGATATCACCGAATGGATTGGAAGTGAGTTTAACTCCCATTAACTATTAGTAAAAAGATGAATTGTTGTAACACAATGTATGTTTGTCTACATTAACCAGATACGAAATGACAATTCAACGTTCGAATCAATTCGTGCCACAATCAATGTCACCGCGGGGAAGTGGTTCTACGAAGTAACGATACTAACAAACGGGATCATGCAAGTAAGTATCATTATTGGTGACCAGGTAGTAGAAAGGATATTGATTAACAGACTTTGTTTACATTTATTGAGATCGGATATGCTACAAAACTTTGCATGTTTGGACCAGAGGAAGGGACAGGGGTTGGCGATGATCAGGTATCGAATTGTGCTGCACTTTTGCATTTGATGATTTCCGTCGATATTCCAATATAACGTAACATTTTTAATTACATAGTATGGATTTGCGTACGATGGATGTAGGAACGTTCTTTGGGTAAGCGTGCATAGTACTAAAAAATATATATGATTTGGTAGTATGAATGATGATTGACTATGATCTGTATGCATATTACTTTAGGCTAATGGCGTTTCTCAGGAGTATGGTGGCAAAGAGTCGTGGAAACCGGGTGACGTGATTGGTGTCTACATAGATGTCAGTCTTAGTTGTGTCCGATTTTTCCTGAATGGAAAAGACCTAGGTGTGAACTATCCTCTGACCTTAAACCATTTTCGAAGATTAGCGGAAAATGGACTGTATCCTACTTTGTCATTCACATCCTATCAACAGGCAGTCGTTAACTTTGGAGCGAAAAAGTTTAGGTAATACATTGCTTATCAATTCGATTATGTTTTTGATATTTACTAAGTTTATTAGAAATTAGATGCCCAAATTATCAAACCATTAGGTATTGACTATGTGTATATTATGATTTATTATCAATCAGATACCCACCATCGTCACTATCGTATGAGACTCTTAATAGCGTTGGGCGGTTATCTTCAGAATTACGTGATTCAATACAAAAAAGGATTTGGCGAGCGTCTCGCTACCGATCAATGTCTCTAGATAATGACTGGAAACAACAATTGGAGGCTGCTGATGAAGAGAACTTTGATGCTCAGTGTTCTATATGTTTTGCCATGCCCCGCGAAATTGTGTTAAGTCCTTGTAATCACGATGGGTTCTGTGCAGAATGTGCCAAAATGATGCATTCGTGTCCGTTCTGTAGGACGCCAATATCTTTCAGACGACCAATGACTAGCGATCAAACAGAGTTACCGCGCACTCCTACCAAACTCTCGATGTCGTCGACATCTGGTTCATCCTCCCTTTCATCACCATCCACTGCTATTGTTCTACCACCAACACCACCACACTCACGTCCCGCTTCATCAATTACCTCATGGGAGCCAGACACATTGCATGGATTGGATTCATAGGACACTGATAGTTCATATTTGTAAGTTACTTTATTGCACCCATTGGGACTGTATATAATTTATATGGCTGAGACATTTGGCATTAAGAAGAGTTGACTGTCGAGTGTCAGTGTTTAATCTCCACATGTAGAGAATTGACTATACAAAGAATTACTAAGTTGGTATCAATTGTTCTCGTTGATTATAAATTGGAATTCTGTTTGTCACCTTAAATATACACTAATAATGCCTGAACATACACATCTATTTTATACTCAAATATATCATGTAAAAAAATTCCCTTACAAAACAAATAAGATCTTATTGAAAAACTCTATACAGAATTACTATTATTTATTCTGTTTTAGATGTGATATATAAAGCGTATTCAATGTATTTCTATCTACTTTACAACCAATTTCACATATTTCTTAATATAAACACGATAAAGTTGCCTTGTCTAATCATTCTATTGTATGCTATGGTCTATTGTTGATATATTCGGAGCGTACTACATCAATCTAACAATGTGAACAAAGATGAGGAAATCTGAACAAGGCGAGCGCAGACATATATTTTGTAAGCCATTCTGCCAATATTACTGCCATTGTTGCTGTCATCATAATATAAATCATTACATGGACGTGACCATTCTCAGCAAAAAAAATCCACTACCTTTTATTTACAGCAAAGGTAGCAGAAACGCAATGAAACAAGGGATGATATTCTATTTGTGAGAGCATCAACTGCTCCATCAATATGTCTGGGGCTTAGTATTAGCGAAAATAACGACGATCACCAGAATGCAGGATGCAATATTGTTTATTATTATTGTTATTATTATTCAGTTGAAGATCAATTCCGTAAATGCGATTTTCAAATGCTGTGACACCCTGAGACTTTTAGTATGTGAAAAAAAGCAAGTTTGTGGTTGCTATTCTGGCACGTGATATTGTAACTACCACTAATACTAATAATAAATAATGCCAGACCATTAAAAGTTTTTTGCTTGTCAGCAATTATAGCTCTCACCCCGAAATTCAGCATAGTACTAACTGGTTCAGGATTTCTAGGCAGATGCTTTTTCTATGAACGGGCTAACCTGATGTTTTCATTTACTCCTTGGCTAATAAATAAGACTTACCAAAAATCGTTCTCAACGTGCGCAATTTACAGTTACGCAAATATTATGACAATACGACAAAGAATGGAAAATAATTTATATTCGATTGTAAGATATTAAATTTAATTGGTTCAAACGCTGACTAACATTTAATTCTTGACTGCTTCGGAAGAAGATTACGCGAATTAGCTGAATCTCATTGGTTTCGATGAACAGAATTTAATTAATGTCCACGCCGCCGATCCAAACCTTAAGTTTATTTGGCAAGTATCAATTTGTCCCGGATTATTAGCAGACTTTTCCCAACAGCATCATTGATTGCGAATAGCTCAAAAACTGTATTTTCGTAACATAGAAGCCATAGTGATAATATTGACACACAATTAGAGTGGCAATTGATCTAATGTGAGTAGACAATAAGTTTTGAGTTATCCTCGTGTTTGTAATAGCTTGTAACCTTTCGGCTGCATTGTAATTGAATATTTCATACTCTCTCCAACTCTTGTTACCCAGTGAAATCATCTATTCTAAAAAAAGAAGCACGAACCAGGTGCCTCGCATACAGAAATTGCATGAACCATATTGGCGCTATTCCAGTCAACATCTTTATTTGCAACCAATGATGTTCCCTAGTATTAAGCATCACCATCTATTATTATGGCGCGAGTTGATATTATTAGCATCCATTTAATATTAGACTTACTTACATCGGACAGCTTGAGATATAATGAAAGTATAAAATAGATATATTTAGTTATACTTTTTTACGAAAGTAGAATACCCAGCTGAATAATACACTGTAAGTTATATTCTGAGAAAGGTTGATACGAACGGAAGTCTTACACGATAGGTTATGGTAGTAACTTGTTGACTAGACTGCCATCGCGCTTAACCAACCTCTTGCAAGACTGTGCGACCGGAAGTCTGGTTATGGTAGTAACTTATTGACCATACTGCCATCGCGCTTAATAGTCTGCAAGCTCAGAAGAATATATTGTAATATAGCGCGACTTACGTTCGAAAAAGCCTTTAAAAGCTCGTTTATAACGTTGTTATCCATCTTCAAACGTAAGACATTAAAAGTAAGATTTCGCGGTCTAAAAAATTGGCAGTCCCGTGATATTTAGTCAATTATTGGTTGCATTATACAACATGCAAAAAACACGTTAAACGTTTATTTACTAGTATACTATTTATTTACTGTAATAGTAAACCCTTACGACTAAATATCTCAACCAAAAGGTCAGTTCCTGATTTATAAATGGGCTCCAGGTTGAACGCTTGTTACATACCAAAGTTTCTTCAATTAAAGGATTAAGAGAAATACATCGTATAGGGGCGCATATAAATAATTATTGTCACTTTCAGTTTAGTTCAGCCTTAAGTGAGCAATCGTTGGAGTAAGGGCAGCGACA